CCCAACCCCAACCCCAACCCCAACCCCAACCCCAACCCCAACCCCAACCCCAAACCTCAATCCCAACCCTATCCTCAACCCTATTTTTAATTCCAATCCGAATCTCAATATTAACCTTAACTTTTATCTTATAACATATAAACTTAAGTTGAATTTATCATATTAATTATACTTTAGTTTTATACTAATATTAATTAAAATTTAAAGTTGAAAAATGTATTAAAATTTTTAATTTTCATTCACAATATATTCATTTTTACAAAAAAAATTTGTTTATAATTTACAAATTATGTTATACAAATTATAATTTTAAATGTAAATGTAAATAAAAATAAAAAATATAAAATAAAAATCTTTATATATAACTATTAATAAATGATTTTTAAATTTTTAATGATTTATATAAATATTTCAAATATTTTCTACTTATCCTTCATCATCATTCTATAATTCAGATGTCCAGAGTGTTAAATTGTCTCTAATTAATTACATAATAGTAGTGGCATCTTTGTATTAATCTTCTTCAATATGTTCAATATCAGCAATAGCATCATCAAAAGCTTGTTTAGCAAGGTTACATGCTTAAGAAGGATCATTCATGACTTCATAGTAGAAAACTGAGAAATTTAAAGCCAAACCTAATCTAATAGGATGAGTTGTGTTTAAATCTTTGTTAGCTATATCAGAAGCCTTTTAATAAGCATCTAAAGCTCCATTAGATGCCTATTAATGAGTTTATCCTTATGCATATTCTGAAATATATCTGTAATAATCTCCTTTCATTTTTAAAAAGAAAACTTTTCCTTCATTTGACTTTTTTTTTAAGTAAAATTGTAACATTTATTTAAATATAAATATTATTAATACCTTAGCTTTAGGAACCAAATGATTGTCTAGTAATTCTAAAATGTTATTGCAGAATTAAGAAAGTTCAGTTTCAATTTTTTTTTGTATTCTCTTAAGAGATTTAAATTCTTGGAACCTTTAGCTTCTTCCTTTTATTCAATTGAAGAAAGAGCTCTCCATGCAGTTCTGCGTGATCCAACAGAATTTTTATAAGCAACCGAAAGTAAGTTTCTTTCTTCTACAGATAGCTCTTGGTCCAATTTTACTACTTATCTCATGTAATCAAGCATGTCTTCAAATCTTTCTGTTTATTCAGAAATCTTAGACATGTAAATTAATTCTTCTCTAGAAAGACTCTATTTTTTCTTTTCTCTTCTTTTTTTTTTTATTTTTTCTTTTCTTTTCTTTAATTTTTTTTATTTTTTTTTTATTTTTTATTTTATTTAAAAATATTATTTTTTCTTTTCTTTTTTTTAAATGATTTTTTATTTTATTTTAAAAAAATATATAATTATTTTATCTCAAAAAATATTTATAGAAATTAAATATGTATTTATATTTTATAGTTTTAATTAATTGAAAACTTACATAAAAAAAATATAAATTACTAATAATTTTAATATTTTTATTAATATCCTTTAAATTATTTATCTTATTTACAAAATCATTTTTATTTTAGTTTTTTAACTAATTAGTTTGCTGATTTGCTTTAAAATTATTAAATTATATTCAATTTTTATTATAACATTTTAATATATATTTGTTAGAATTTTATATATTAAAAAGTAAATGCATTTTATTATTTTTATTATAGAAATATCAATATATTTATATTTAAGTTAATGATAGTGATATATTTTATATTTATTTTTAAAACTTTTTATTAATTATATATTATTTAATTTTTTTTATTTGTTTTTAATTTTTATTCATATTAAAATTATAGCATGCTTTGCATTTATTTCCCATTATATTAATTTTGTAAATATACTTCGTATGTTTTCCTTTTTTAATTATGAATAATTATACTAATTATTGTTTTAGTTCAGTTTTATTTTTATTTTACCTGCTTTATAATTAAAAATAAATTATATTTATATTTTATATTGTATTGTATTGTATTTGTTTACAATTGATTTTCTAGGTTGCTGTGAGTTAAGAAATTATAATAACATGAATTGTGTATTATATATATTAAATATTTAATTTATATATTATTTAAAAATTATTAATTTAAATTATATATTTTTTTTTATATTTTATTTTTTCATATCAACTTCTTAATTATCTAAATAATTTAAAGTTTGGTTCATTTTCTATCAAAATATAAATATTAAATTAAAATTATATATATTACGGATAAATTTAATTTATTAGATTTATAAATTTTTTATAATTTAAATTTATAAACAGGAGTAAGATCTAGTAAAATTAATTGCTCTTTAAAAAAATAAATAGTAAATTTAATTGAAATTATATATAATTAAATAATAATTATTTTTTGAATATTCATTTTTTCATTTTAAATATTTAAATGTATTATTTTTTAAAATTCAGGTATATTTGTTATATAGCTCATTTCTGTTACTAAATTATAAATTTAATAATAATTTAATTAAAAAAATTAGTTTTATTATTGATATAACATTTATTAAAAAGATAAGTCGAATTATTTGATTATTTATTTACAACTTCTTAAAAATATTTTACAAATTTTTTATAAAGTAATTCTAATAATTTTAGATTTTTTATTTTTAAATTTTTATAAATGATTAATAATTCTTCAAATAATTTTTAAAGATTAAAACTTTATGTATAAATATAAAATCTGTTTATCTATTTGAATTCAATAATTAAAAAGCTTAATTTACAAGTATGATTTTTTATTTATAAATTTCTAATAATATATAAACTATATTCAATAAATTATTAAGTAAGTTGATTAAATAATGTTTTTTATGTTTTTATTTTTATTGCAAGTAAATAAAAAAATATATTTAATAATCTGAAATTAATTATCAATAATATATAAGAATTTTTTTTTAAATATTCATAAAATTAAATATTTTTTAAATTTAATTTAAATAATTTTTATGCAGTTTAATAAAATTTAATATCATTTTTTTATGTTTATATTTTTTTATAATATTTGAAATGCTAATGTTAAAAAAATATTCAAAAATCTAAACATACTTTTATAATTTTAAAGGCTATACGAAAATGAAAAATATTTATAAATTTTAATTATATTTGAGATTTATAATAAATTTGTTTGATAATATATTAAAAAACTAAAATTATTAATTGTATTTTTTTTATTACAACTAATTAAATTTATAATAAATATTTTATTTTATATATATATTTTAAATTCATTCTTTTTAAATAATTATAGAATTAACTTTTTATTCATTTAATATAATCCAAACTTCATTTCTTCTCATAAAGGGAATACAAAAAGGTGGATTATAACGTGCAAATTAATAATTTAATTGTTCAATATTTTCTTCTTCATTTATAAATCTATCATTTTTAATTTATTTATACAATTCTTCAAGTTTACTTTTAAATATTTTATCATTTGTAATTCCTGAAAATTAGCATACAGCAACAACTTATTCATCTACTTTTTCGAAAACAATTTCTTTGTCATTTGGCTCAGGAACTTAATCTATTTATGAATATTCAAACGGAAGCACAAAAGATAAAAACTCATTTTAATTTAAAACTGGTGTTGTCATCTAAATTTTTATTGGTTCTTTTAAAACAGGAGCTGTCATTGCAAGCGATTTACTTTTTGTATTAAAAGGTTTTCCAAACGCTCCTATATAATTTGCTAAAATTCTAAATGCTTAGTTTTCATTTTTATTTTTTATTTATACTTTTGCAATAATATATGATTAAATCTTTCTAATTTAATAAGGTTATTATTTAAGTAGCTAAAATTAAGGTTCTTTAGATCCATTAAAACCGAAAATTTAACCAATGCAACCTAATACTTAAGACATTTAGTTTAATATTATTATATAATTATTTTAATAAAATAATAAATATATTAAATATTTGTAATTTATAAAAAATAAATATATTGTAAATTAGAAAATATATATATTTTATTATATAAAAATGAAATATAGAAAATAAAAGCATTTTCTAATTTACAAAAACGTTATTATTTTTATTATAAAAATATATAGTAATATTAAAATTAAATGAAATATAAATATAATTAAAATTAATTATAAATATTGAATTAATAAATATATATTTTAAATTTAAATAATTTAATATATTATTATTAATTTTAAAAAAGGTTTATATATTTTATAACAATTTATTAAAAATTATAATATAATTATATTATTATAAAAATTTATAATAATATATATATATATTTTGGTTTAATATAATTATAAGATTTTATTAAATCTTCATAATAGTTTGAAAATATCTTATGATTATCAATAAATAAAATGCCTATAACTATATTTGTAATAAAATCAGCTTATTTTAATGTTAAATTAATTATAAATATAATTAATAAATTATATATAATTTAATAATCATATTCATATTATTAATTTTAATATAATTTAAATAAATTATTATTAAAAATCTTATTTGCAATTTTTTTTAATTTTTATTCATATTATTTAATATTTATATAAAAAATTAAAAAATTGAATATTATTATGCTTTATATTAAAAGTTATATATATATATAAGAATAATAATGAATTATTAAAATTTATATAAAAATGAAAACTGTTAATAATTAAAATTAAATATATTATGATATTATAAAAAAATAAAACTAATTTTAAAAAAATAATATATATTTTTTTTTATTCTTTCTTAATAATAAAATATATATAATTTTATATAAATAAAAATGAGAAAAATTTAATTAATTTTATTTTTATATTTTGTTATTTGTTTTTATTCTACTTAAATTTCTTCTGATGATATAATAATGGATTATTCAAACGCAGGTTATTTAACAAAATTACAATTTAAATTTTAAATAGTTTCTAAGCTTACTAAAACTGATTACATAAATTTTTAATTTCCCTTCCAATTGCATTATAGCTTAACTCCAGATATTTCTTCTATTGACTCTTTATTTCGTCCTTATGGACTTTTAGCGACTTGGACAAGCTTAGATAAATAATAGTAAATTTAAGGAAATTTAATTTTTTATGCAAAAAGTGTTGACTCTACAAATTATTATGGCCATTTTTATGATTAAAACTAATTTTAAATATAAATTTAAAGTGGCTGGTATTAAATTATGATTTAAATAAATGATAAAAGAGCTTTGTAATATTAAAAAGTGGATTGTTTATTATAAATCTAAATCGAAACTGTGAGCGGAATCGATAAAAATAGCTAAAAATATGACTTTAATTCAGGTTTTGCTTATATTTACTTATAACCTGCACCCTTTGAAAATCTAAAATTTAATGTTTTCTTTGAAAATGATAAGACTAGAAAATAACTATCAAAAAGAGATAATATAGTTTGGTTTGGTATTAATATAATAAAAAAATTATAATTATATATCTATATATTATATATATAAATTTTATATATTATATTTTATTTTCTCTTTATATTTTAATCAATTAATTTTTTTTACTTTTAAAAATAATTAAAAAACATAGATTTCGATTCTCAATAAATTACTAATTATTCTTAAAGCGACGAAGATATAAGGTTTATCATTTTACTAAACGATAATTCATTTTAATTTGAATTCGAAAAAGGTTGCAAATCAGTAAAGAAAGATTTAATTCCAATAAACAATCCACTTTTAGATTCTTAATATAAATGTACAGTAGATATTTAAACTAACTCTCTTATAATTCTTTTAAAGCCTTAAGCTATATAAGCCACAAAATATTATAGAATAGAAGCAACTATTAAAAATCCTTCCTTTGTTATTCAAAATATTGGTGTTTAATTAAGAATGCTAAGAGATTATTCACCACATATTCTTTCAATAGGAAATGCAAATAATATATTTGAAACAAGCCCAATAAACTTAGCTTCTTATAAAGTTAGTTTTGGCTGGGATGTTTTACCGTCTTAATAAAATCCATTTAAAATGATTGTTGTAAGAGGGGATAAAAAAGATGCTTCTTATATTCCTTTTAATTCATTTAAATTTAGATTTATATTAGATATCGACACTCCAGAATAACAAGAGTTAAGAGTAATTCTAAAACTTAAAACAGAACCTGATGATATTTTATTAGCTGGTTCAATAAAACATAATTTTCCTGGATTCAACGTCAATCCGTAATAAGTCAAAGACAACTTTTGTAGAGAATATAACAAAGACACATCTGATAAAAGAAAATTAATATGTTCTTCTATTGGTTAATTAAAAAAGATTAAGAATATTATATTTCATTTAAAATGTAATAATATATCTATATATTATATTTTAATAGAAATATTATTTTAAAGGTTTTTTAATTACGATGATTACGAATCAGATATCTTTTTTAATGAATTCGGAAGTCTTTCAATAGAAACAGTTGAAAGAATAGATATTTCTTAACATAACTTTTTTGTAATTAGTAGAGATTTATAATTTTTAAATAATATAAGAAATTATAAAGAAATATACTAAGTGTTAATTCAAACTGAAAATATAGAAGATTATTTAAAATAATTAAAGACGTTTGATGATGTCGTTTTACTAGCTTTTGCACCAGGGATGGAAAGTTATACTGGCTAAATTTAAAGTGCTAATTACTATACATTAAATGAAAATTATATTAATGAAAATGAAAAAAAAATACTGTCAAAAGATATTTTCATTCCTTTAAGTAATTTTGATTTTATTAACTTTTGTATCGACAAAATTATAAATTCAGTTTTAGGAGCTAAATAGCCTTTATATATAGCTTAAATTCTTAAATTTAATTAGGCTTTTTATTTAAGCAAAAATATTCACTAAACATAACTAGTTTAAAAAACATATCCTTAAAATGCTTACTCCATTAAATCTAAAAACGGTAGAAATTGGGTTCCTTAAGAGACTAAACATAAGTTTACTCAAGTAAGCTCAATTAATAGTTCTAAAAACTTAATTAATTTCAACCCTACTACAGATATAGGGATAAAAGGAAACAATTAAATTTAAAAATTAGTATTTTGTTTCTAAGCTCCTTACACTGATGCTGTAAAAGCAATATAATATGATAGCTTAGCAGATAAAAGTTTTAATGATATAAATAATGTTGGAATGAACATTATAATGAATCCTAAATTTAGCATTCAATAAAGCAGTGTCTCTGTAGAATTAAATGATTCTACTGTTCCTCGTGTATCCGTTCCTAAAATATCCTAAAATAATTAGTAATTACAAATATAAATATAGTTTATTAGTTAAAATTAAATAGCAACTATATTCTAATAAGCCCCTACAAAAGATAATCTTTTTGGATTAAATTAATTCCAATTTGATTGGCATTCTTCAATGTATACAGAAGATAAGAATATGGATTTTTTTATTTAAATTATAGAAGGAATAAATGGACCTACAAATAAATAAACTATAATTTCTACAGTTCTTATTAATGGATATTCAATTGATAACGGAAAACTACCTAATATACAAAGTAACTTTGCTAATTATTATACCGCAAATGCAGGCGATTTCATTCCCACATTTGTTCATATTTACGGCACACTACCTGATTATAAATCTACTAATGTTCCTTTTAAAATTGCTTTATTTTTCGATAATGTTGATTTTTATTATTATAATTAATCTTATAATTAAATAAGCTGCTAAATGTTATCAGATTTATAAAATCCTTATACTTGTACAGGATATACATAGATTGATATTTAAACAAGAAAAAATTTTATAATTATTATAATTATTACTTCACAATGAACAAAATAGAAATTACAATGTAAGAATAACCTACTTCTAAATTTTAGTTACTCATACCAATTAAATCTAACGACTAAGATCTTTCAATATCAATACACGCAGGTGTTATTGTAAATGACTAATTATAAGATATAAAGCTATTAATACAAAAAACTTTTGTAAAAAATGCAAAAACTTTAATCCCTCCATTACCTGAATTAAGTAATGTAAATGACTATTAATATGGTATAGATTTAAGCGCTTGCATTACTTGTTAAGTTGGCAAATAAATAAATTCTTTGCCTATAAAAGCTTATCATACTGGTGGTGCCCCTAATATTAGATTAAGCAGCGCTTCTTCCTTTACCTTCGGCTGCGATTATCAGTTTTATAAGACTAAAACTAATTAGTATGACATTTAAAGTACTATTTAAGCTACTTTTACTGATGATTCTCTGAATAAATGCTTATTTTACAATTATAGGTAAAACGCTATTTCTAAATACGGTGTATTCTGTCCATTTAACAAAGGTACAGTTACTAATTTAAGTTAAATAACTCTCAGTCCATTTAATCTGCCAAATCAAAGTTTTTTTAATAAAGACAATAGTTTTTCAATTAATTCATTTTCAGGATATTCTAATCAAGATGGAATTTTGTAAACTTTGCAAAAAAACTTTTTAAATACACTATAACCAGCAGTTATCGAAACTATAGTAATGCCTACACTAAAAAAAAACCAAAATTCTATATATTTGGTTTTTGAAATTGTTACACCAATTAATTTAGAATAGTAATTTTTTGTAGTTATTTAATCTATTAACAATTTACCTTTAAAATAAAATGAATATAGCGTATGTAATGTGTCTATTAATGATTAACCTTTTAAAGAAAATTAATGTACTGTTGTTTGTTTTTGCTCTACTGAGGCTTGTAATCCAGCTTGTGCTCATCCTGTTTGTCCTGCAGATTGTAAAATTAAGGAATTAACGAAAGAGTTAGCTTTTAAAATTTAGACAAATAGTGGATCTTGGCCAAGATAAAGCAAAATTAAAATTTTTTAATATGGAATTACAACTGATGATGCTGGAGTTGATGCAAAAGTCAAAATTCAGATTTATAATTAATAAGTCACAAATTTATAAGCAGAAAAAACAGATATTGATTTAAAATTTGACAAAACCAAAAATTTTTAAACCAAAATGGAAATTATCTAATATTAGTAGCAAAACTTTAATAAAGAATCGATTACTTTTTTAAGCTTTTTAATAAGACTAACTTCTAAAAGCTTTTATGTGAACGAAATGATAGAAATTGATTTAGGTAATTTTTTTTAGACGAACAAATAATAATTGTCTAATTTATACAGTGATATTTTCGAATAAACTAAAAATGGATAACTAATATCATATAATGGTATTTAGTCTATTATTTATTATTTAAAAAACGACAATAAATTATTATTATAAATTGTTTTTAAATCAATAGAATAAATAGAAGAAATAATTTTTTATATAAAATGTTACAACTTAATTACTTAAAATACCCTTTCTAAATATATAATTACATATTCTTATAAAGATAATTAAATATTTAATCAAGAAACAATAGTACCAATACCACTTCCTAATAATTAAAATAAAGACTTAGAAACTTATTCTTCTAAATAAAATAAAAATGTTCAAGATATATAAATTAAAAAATATTTCGCTACTCCAGGAAGCGGTTTAGAAATATAGATATCAGCCAAAATAACAAAATCAAAAATAACAGATGAGTCAAGGATAATAATAGTATTTCCTAAATATTATAACCCTTTTCTATCTAGAGATGGAGATAAAAATGGAATAAGCTGTTATTAAGGTTCATATAATGGGCTTTTATCATGTTATGTAGTTGCTCCCTATGTCCTTGAAGTAAAGCATTTTTAAGAAGTTACTGAACTTGGATAAACTATAACTTTTAGAGTTTGTGGAGTTTTATAAACTCTTGTATATGAAAAAGACTTGTTTTTCATAGCTATAGACGATAATATGGATGATGATGAATATTAAGAATATTATTATGTTATAGACTAACCTATTGTACTTGGAGAATAAATAATTAGGGAAACTATAGATTTTAGAAGTACTTAAATTTCATCATATTTCTTGCGTTAGAATAAAGTTACTTATGTTTTTAGTGTTTATATTCCTCAAAATATACCTTAAATTTAAGAAGGATACTTTATATGTATTAGTTTTCCCTAAGTATATATTAATTAATTAAGGCATTATGAGCCTAAATGTAAAATTATTGAAAAGGGATTATTAAATAATGAATTATCAGGATATTGCGCTGTTTTTGGATTACGTATTAAAGTTTATTTGAACGAAATTATAAGTTCTGGTTAATTTTATGATATAATAATAGATAATATGTATAATCCTTCTATTTTTGCACCTCTTGCATATAAATATATAATAGAAATCATAGAAAATAATTGCTAAAAAGTACTTTATAGATCTTTTGATTCATCATCTAATTTCTAATTATAAAATATTATATAAAATCCAAATTAAGACATTTTAAAATATGTAGATGAGTAAGGAAATGAAATTACCTAAATTTAAATGATAAAAGGAGTGATTAACCCTATTTTATATATTTAAAGATATAATTAAAAAGGAGTAATAACTCCTGTATTTTCACGTTCCTTTTTACTGAAAGGATCTATTGTTAACATCGATTTATTCCCTCCATCGCTTAAAGTAATTGTTGGATAGACAGATGCTACAATTTAGTTCTATTCTTAATTTACTTAAGGTACATTTGCATTTTAATTGCATAAGGAAAACGATGGAAATTATTATAGTAATTTATCTCCAATAATGCTTATTTTTGATAATTTGAATAAACAAGTTGTTAAATTTTTATAATAACCTTTGCTTATCTCAGTTTCCTAAACTAAACTTTTACTTACTCTTAATACTTTATTACCTTTAGAATATATAGACATCAAGTTCTATTTTAAGGAAGGTGTCGATTCTAAAGGAATTTTAATAGATAATAATAAAAATACTATTAGATTTACATAAACTTAAAATTTCGGATCAATCTAATTCTCATTTTAAAACCCGACTTTAAATGTTAATGACGAACTTATTCTATCTATTGATATTTCGGGTCCAAATAAAGATTCGTATATGATACCTAAAAATCCTTTAAAAGTTCATTTATTTTATACTTTATTATTTTTATATTTTCATTTATTTAACAAAAAAGTTGACAATAATACAAAGCACAATTGATAAAGAACAGTAAATAACATAATTTGATATCTTAACTGATACAATAACAGCTTAAGTAACAATAAATTGTGCAAATAAAGGATATTTTTTATATGGAGTATCTATGTATTATTCATCTAATGCCTAAAAATGTGCAATAGAGCAGGTTAATGTTTAAGCATAAAAATTGGATGAAGATTTAGCATCAGACGAATAAAGTATATGCTCTTACTAATTTGGTTCAGCTCCTTTACTAGATACAACTTAAGGTATTCAGATAAAACTAAGAGGCTTATAGGTAAAATAAGATTATCGTATATTTGGATTATGTGAAGATGAAAAAGGAAGAATAAAATACGATAATAAACAATTTTAAACAAAAGATAATTCAGGAGTTACAAGTAAATTAAAAATTGATTTTGTAAAAGAATTAACAGTTGAATAAAGATAAAATATGAACTGTTTTCTTTCCCTTTTCACTTTTTCAATGCCAAAATAGTTAATATATATAAATATAAATATTTATATGACAAAAAAATAGTGTAAATAGCTTTGATGGATCTTATTGTAAAGAAATAAAATTTGTAGGATAAAGAAGAGTTTTGCTAGATTAATATATTAATTCTAATGATAGTATTTTAACCCTTAATTGTGAAGAAACAGATATTCCTATTAAAACTGTTATAGGTATGTCCAGTGAAACATTTTATTTTGGTAAAAACATCTATACTTTTGATGATTAAACATTTAAAAATTTACTATCGGCTTCTAAAAAAGAATGCTTTAGAACATATATAATGTAAAACATATAAGGTATACCTGATATTGTAAATATTTACCCTTTAAGTGTTATTTAAGATAACCCACCCTCAGCTTAAAGTATTAATCCAGTATTATACAGAGGTTAAACCTGGGCATTTTTAGATATTCCTTAACTTACTACAAGTGGGTTAATATACATGATATTGGATAGTTCAAAAAATACTAAACCTACTTTATAATAAATTAAATAAGGAAAAAACAGTTAAGATGAAAATGCAATAACTTTTTAAAAAGTTATTTGTGATAAAGATAGATATGGGTCTTGTAATAGTACTTTTATTAGTCTATAAGCTGAATAAGATTATTCAATTTATTATGTTGTAGGAAATGAAAATCCTTTTGAGGATTTAGCTGTTTTTGGAGATGTTTAAATTATTTAGGTTAAAAGAGATGTTATTGATATTATTTAATCTTTTTCAAAGATAATTTATTATAAAATAGAAATTTTTGTATTATTCATTTTGTATTTATAATGAAAGAAATAATTATATATATATTTTTTTTAAATTATTAATGAATTTTTTAATAATTATTAAATTTATTAGATAAATTTTATTTTATATATATAAAAAAAAATTCTATTTTTTTTTAATTCAACAAAATTTCAAAATAAAATTAAAAATTATTTAATTATTTCAATAAATTAAATGTAAAGATCAGAGTTATAATAATCCAATAGCAAATACTCCTAAAAGTACCTTTATAAAAGCCAACTAAAAAAAATAATATTTACTCACAAAAATATATTTTATCTATTTAATATCTTAATATTCACAATTTTTAAAAATTAGTTCTAATTATAGACCAATATCAGCTTCATAAAAATAAAAATCCTAAATTCCTGAACCAGATGGTGATATTGAAGAATACATGTTATTTAATAAATCTAATAAAAATTAAACTTTTAATTTATAAAAAAAGGGAAGTACTTTTAGAACATTAAAAAAATTGTGAAAAATCAGGAAAATATGTTGAAGCTGAATTAGCTAAAAGAAGATTATAAGAGTTAAAACTAGAATTCGAAAGGAGATCAAAAGACGAAACGAAATAACGTCATTTGAATGAGGTTTTTTAAATTATAAATTTAAGTATAATAGATAGTTTAATATTATTTATTTTATAGAAATAGGAAATTGAAAAGGCTCATTTAAATGAATATAATGAATTCAATGAGTTTTGGGATAGAAAAATGCTTGAATTTAATTAAGAAGCTGAAAAAGTTGAAAAAGAAACTATCGAAAGACATTAAGAAGAAATGAATAAATTTTAAGAAGAAATAGAATAACAAATAAGTTTTCATAATTTAATTTAGTTTATTTTTTATATTTATATAAAAAAAGCATAAAAACCAAAAGATACTCCTGAATTATTACATTTAAGAAAAATGGAAGAATAACTAGCTAAATAATAAGAGTAATCAATTAGATATTTTATTTTTATTAAATTAACTTAATAAAGATATATGGAAGCTCATTAAATTCAACAAAGAATATTTACTATTGAAAAAGAAGAGTTTGAAAAATGGAATTATTAAAGATAAATTAAACTAAAAAATTTAATGCAACATTTAAGATTAAGATAATAAAATGAAATATCAGCATTAAGATAAAGAATTATTTCTGGTTAAGATGAATAAAAAAAAATTAGGAACTAAGAACTTGAAAAGTAAATAATTAATTATTAAAAAAATAATACAAAGTTATTATATGTGAATTACAAAAAAGGCTTTTACAAAAATATAATAATGTAAAAAAAGAACTTGAAAACACATAAATATAAGAAAATTAAAAGATAGAAAAATCATTAAAATAAGGATGTAATCAAAAAATTTTATTTTTGTTAAAAAAAAAAAATTTTATAAAAGCCATTATGAATGCTTCCAGAATTATGAATTAATCAAAAATGTAAAGTTTGTCATAGGCAAAAAATAAAAATAATTAATAATGATGATTATATTTAATTGATAATTTTTAAAGGAAATACGTTTTTAAAAATAAAATAATTCTTCTAAAATATTAAAAAAAATATAATATGCATTTTCATTTAAAAAATTATCGATTTTTATATTCAAATAAAAAAATCATTTTTCATTTTTAAAAATAAATAAATTAAGTGATAGGTATATAAAAATTGCAAATGTAAAAGTATATTTTTTTCCTTAAAGCTAAAATATACATATTTTTTATTTTTAAATTACTTAGAAATAACAATCTTATTAAAATGAATAAATAAAATAAAAAAATATTAATTTAAAAGTATATTTTATATGTAGTTTATCTTAAACATCTATTTTACACAAATAATATATACTTTTTATAAAAAGCAATTGAATATTTTAAATAAAATTATTAAAATATGAAGGTATATTATTTTCAATTATTATGTATTTATGTAAATTCACTTAATATATAAAAGTAAATATTATTATATTAATTAATATATGTTATATAACCAAATTTAATTATTATTATTATAATTTTATTTATATATAGTATTTTTATTTTTAATTACTTTTAATATTATTTTCTCTATTAAGTAGTTTTATTTAACTCATATTTTTTTTAATATTTATATCTAAATACTTTTGATTTGCATATTAAATAAAAAATCGTAAGATTTTATATAAAAAAATTATTAGAAAATTCTTTTTTTATATAAAAAAATACAAAAATGTTGAAAATTGCAAAGAATATAAACATTAGCAATATATTATGTAAATAATATATAAATAGGTTGACTTAAAAATAAATCTGTTCTATTTCTCAATCATTTAATTTCAAATAAGAAATTTAATAAATAAGAAGGTCTTTATTTTATCATCCTTGTAGCACATTTGCATTAGAAACATAAGAAAAAATTATAAAAGTAAAATTAAAAAAATACTATTCATTATTGCAATTTAAAAACATATTAATTAATTAATTTTTAAAAAAATAAAAATAAAGAATTAGAACATTATTAATGTTTTAAATACAAATGATAATACCAAATTTAGAAATGTTGCAATAATAGCACACGTAGATCATGGAAAAACAACTTTAGTAGATACACTTTTAAAATAATCAGGCTTAGAAAATTAGAAATCTATGGATAGTAATGCACTTGAATAAGAAAAAGGAATCACAATTCTTTCTAAAGTTACAGGAATTACTTATAAAGATTATAAAATCAATATTGTAGATACACCTGGTCATTAGGATTTCGGAGGTGAAGTAGAACGTATTATGTAGATGGTTGATGGAGTTATTTTGTTAATATGTGCAACTGAAGGACCAATGACTTAAACCAAATTCGTACTAAAAAAAGCTTTAAAGTAAAAATTGAAACCTATTGTTATTATAAATAAAGTAGATCGTCCAACTGCAAGATGTAAAGATGTTGAAAATGAAGTAATTAAATAACTATTAACCATAAGAAATAAAAAAATATTAAAAATAATTATAGATATTAGATTTATTTATAGAAATGGACATTCCTGAAGAAGATTTAGATTATCCAGTTTATTATGCATCAGGAAGAGTAAAAATATTTAATACTATATTATATATCTAAGAAAACAATAAATTTATATTTTTTAAAAAAAGGATGGTTGGGCTGTGGACAATCTAAATAATATAAAAAGTGATAATAAAAAAGACGTTTCCTGCATTTTAGATGCTATAGTTAATTATGTACTACCGCCTAAATAAACAAAAGAAGGAGATTTCCAACTGCTTATTTCTTAAACAGAAAGTAACATATACCATGGAAAGTTGGTAATTGGGAAGATAAATTCAGGAGTTTTAAATGTTGGCGATAAATTAGATTCATATGATAGAGATGGTAAATTAATTGAAAGTAATAAAGTTATGAAAATAATACGAAGATACGGATAGAAACAAGTAATTATTTTTTTTAATTTTAATAAATTAACTAAAAGATGGAAATATAAACAGCTTATGCAGGTGATATTGTTTCTATTGCTGGATTCTCCAATTCAACAGTTTCATATACTTTAAACAAACAAGGAAATAAAGGATCGATTCCCAGTATTCCTATAGATCCTCCAATTATTGGTGTTGCAATATCTCCTAACACATCTCCTTTAGCAGGAAAAGAAGGAGTAAAATTAACTTTCAACTAATTAAGATAAAGACTTTAAGAAGAAAGTGAAAACGATGTTGCCTTAAGAGTTTAAGGTATTTTTAAAAATAAAAAATATAATAAAATCAATTAATTAAGGTTTGGGCTAAAAAGATGGAGCGAATTTAGTTGTAGAAGGAAGGGGAGATTTACATTTAGGTGTTTTATTCGAAAATATGCGTAGAGAAGGATTTGAAATGAGTTTAACTCCTCCCTAAATTATATATAAATAAGTAGGAAACAAAACCTTTGAACCAGTAGAAAAAGTCAAAATTGAGACTAGTCCTATTTATTCTTCCATAATTATTGAAAAACTAGGACTTAGAAAAGGAGTATATGAAAATTGTGAAGAAATAACTGCCGATTTACATAGATTAACTTTTCTTGCACCAACTAGAGGCTTGATTGGCTTTAGAACTGAGCTTATGAACGACACTAAGGGAACTGCTGTTATGGAATCATTTTTCCATGAATATTAAGAACATAAAGGAACATTAAAAAAAAATACTAAAGGAGCTTTAATATGTACTACTGATGGTTTATGTACTGCTTATGCAGTTAAAGCTTGTGAAAAATTCGGATAATTATTTGTTATTCCTGGAAGTTAAGTTTACGCAGGAATGGTTATTGGAGAAAATTAGAAGGAATCAGATGTAGAATTAAATCCAACTAAAAAAAAAGAACTCACTAATGTTAGAAGTAAGTAACATGAAGAAAAAATTTTGCTTTAACCTGCTAGACAATTCAGTATTGAAGAAGCTATTTCGTATATTAGAGGTAATAAATAAGTTATTTCAAATAAAATATTTTTTTATTTTAGATGATGAAATTGTAGAAGTTACACCTAAAAATCTTAGAATTAGAAAGAAAGAACTTGACCCTAATGTAAGAGCTAAATTTATTAGAGATCAAAAATCCAAAAGGCAAAGCTGACATTAAAAATAATAAGCAATAAACAAATAAATTTTAATTAAATTTATAAATATATTTGTATGAAAAAAATAAATTTTTACACTTATACTTTTTTTAATTATAAATAAAATAACATTTATATAAATTTGTTTTAAAAACTAATAATTTTTTTAAATTTTAATTAATATCTTTGATAAGTAATAAAGAAAAAATATTTTTTTTGAAAAATATATTTTTATTTATTTTTTTAATCAAAACTCAATACATCAATACATAATAAACATAAATTTAATAATATATATATATTTATTCATTATCTCGATAATGTTTTTGAGAATTTGAAATATACTTTTTATATTAAAAAATCGTAATCAACAAGAACTTTCCAATATACTAAACATACATAGAACTATTTTTTATAAACTTTTTATTAGTAAATATTTTTTGAATGTTTACCTTTAAAAAAAATACTAATATTTATATATAAAGTATAAAAGGATTCCATGCAGGACTTACTTTATCTAGTTAAGAATCGATTGAGTTCCATTTCTGTTTTTTTTTTTTGAAATATATATTATTTTTAAAAATATTTACATTTGGATATAAGCATATCCATATAATTTAGGATATAATAGATAGTAAAAAGCAATTAATAATTATTCTCAATCTAAGTCTAGTTGCTTATTTACAATTAAATAATATTATAGAAACCATAATTAAACAATCTATAAGTTAAAATATTAAAAATTAAAATATATTTATTTTTAAACATCAAAAAAGTTGCAATTATCAAATCCAAACAAAATAGTTAAAAATAAATAAATAAAAGTTTGAACAAATAAAAATGTTGCCCAATCATTTACTTTTTAATTTAAACAAAAAGAAATTAAAGTAATATTTATTTACTAAATGGAGTTAAAGCTATCAAAACGAATTTACAAAAATTTATTCTATTTAATATATGTTAGTAGTTAAATTTTCAATATCATTATCAGGACCTAATCTAAAGTTGGTTATTGATATTTCTCTTTATGCTGAACTTTTGTTTTAAGCCTAACTTATTTTATCATTAAAAACGTTAGGCTTTAAAAACATAGATTCATCATATTTAAATTAGACTGAATTAGAAGGATATAAAGTTATACTTGATTTATAGTTATATGAAGTTGAGAAATCTTTTAAAGCATCAAACTTGCATAATAAAATAATTTCTTTTCCTGGAGGTAATACAATGTCGATGTTTTCATGATCTTATTTAATTATTTAAAATATTCAAATTTAATATTTTTTTTACCTTTAAAAGGTTACATTAATTTATAGCCTTAAAATTTATTAAAACTAATTTTAGTCTACAAGACTGTAATTCCAAGAATTATTATAAAAATAGAAATAAATTAAACCTAGATTATTACCGTTATATCTTAATTATTTCATTACCTTAATATTCTACTTTGTTATGTTTATTTTCTTTACTTATTGGTTTTGTTAAACAATATTATTTAATAGCCTATTTTTAAAATTCATCACAATTCATACCTGTAATAAATTAAAACTAATTCTCACCATTTGTATAAGAATCTTTATTTTTATTTAAATATTTTTGATGTTTTAAAAAAGAATAATTAATTACTTATTACAATATTTCTAGTATAATTTTGATTCCATAATACTTCTACAAATACAAAATATTCTCCAGGCTCAAAAATACAAAAAGCATCATTGTTTCTATCATAATCGAAATTTCCTGATACCCATTAAATTTAATTTGTTTCGAAATTATGTTTTGTAACAATAATTGTACTAAAAGAATAATTATAAATGTCCTATTTAAAAAATCTAGAATCATCTTAATTCAAAGTTATCCATCCAACTTATCTTTATTTTATTATAAGCTTAACTATTGCAGCATTTTATTAATTATCCATATCAACCTTTATTGAATTGCACTTATAATTATCTTTAATTTGACATAAACCAATTCCTTCATAATACTTAACAAAATCTTCAACCTAAATCCAAAAGCTTCCGTCATTTTCATTTTTAAGATTTAATTATTCTTTTAATTAAGGAGTCCATTTTAAACTATTATCACTCCAATCACCATTCCATTCAACTTTACTTTATATATAATATAATATAATATTTTATTATAATTTTTTTATAAAAAGTGGCAATTATACATACCCCCAAGGATTTCTTATTTTAATAATTCCAACTTATTTATTGACTTGATAATCGAAAATTTACTTTATATCAAGGATTGAATAAGCATGCCCAGCTAAAATCCCAAGTTTATTCTATTCTTCCTTAATGTGAGCACTCTTAGTATAACAAATTAATATATCACTTTTTCCATTATTATCATGTTAGATTAAATAGTTCCAGACTTCATCAGGATTATTACTATCTAAATTCTAATAAGGTGCACCTGTCAAATCTCTCAAAGCAATCGCAGGATTTCCTCCTTCTATTTTAAAATAAGATCCATAAGCTTTAGCATAAGCCTTTTCTAATAAGACGACCCACAATTCAGCTCCAGTAGCTTTGGAAAAACAAGGAATTCCTTTAATGCAAGGTATTCTGTCATCAATAATAATATTTTTCCATTCTCCTTTAATATTCAACCAAATGGAATATAAACCGTTTTTTTAGTAATTTTTAGTATGAAATAATTTCAAAATATATTCTTTTCTTTCTGCTAAAGAACTTAAAGAACACAAAAAATAAGAGTCTCCTAAAATACCCTATTTAATATCGTTAACTTCTATTTCTTTAAATACATCTATTCCTTAAAACTCATCAAATATTTAATTTGGGCGTAACCATTGTATTTTTTCCCAAACTTTTTATTACTATTAAGGCATTAAATTCCAATATTCACATAATGATTCTTTTGTAGGAGGAAAATATTCATCATAAAATACACCTTTCTCACCTAAAAGTTAAAGTTCATGTGATTTTTGATTATAATCTTACAAATTCAAACCATATTCACTTGAGAATACATCTTGCATTTGTATTTAATTAATTTAGGCAAAAGATTTATTACTGGAAAACTTTCTTTATTTTGATTAATTCATTTTGTTAATTAAATTATTTTTTTAAAATAACTAAAAAAATTTATTTATAAAAATAAAAATAAAAAAATTATTCAAAATATATCTAAAAAATTAATGTAAATGAAATAGGATTTCATTATTTTTTTTAAAAAAAATCAAATTAATTTTAAATATAAATATTAACTTCAATCGATTCAAATAATAAATTTAAATTCAAAATTATTTTTTAAAGAAATTAATTTATTATATCCAATTTAAAGTTAAATAAGCAATAAAGGTTTAGTTATAATTGATTAATTTCATATTTAATTATTTTTTCAGTAATTTATTTTTAAAAATTAAATAAAATAAATGAATTATGTTTAAGATTAATAAAAAATAAAATATAATTAAATAATCTATAAACTAAAAAAAATAAATAGAATAAATAAATGAATAGTATATAAAAATAATATAATAATTTATTAATACTAAAGTTTTTATAAATATTATTTTAGTATTTTTTTTAATATTATTATAATTTAAATAGTAAATTTATTTATTTAAAATATACATTTTAAAAAAAATATATAGTATATATTTTTAAAATAGAAATTATATATACTATATAAATTTTAAAACAATATAATCATTTTAAAATCATATCATTTTATTAATGTAAATACATAATTAACATATTTAGATAGAACTTTTTACAAATTTTAATCGAAATCATCATCAATATAAACATTTTAATTACTTATATCAATAAATTTGTTTTAATATATATTAAATCTGTTAATTTGATAACTTTTTATAATTTTATATTTTAAAAATAAATAAATAAATAAATAAATAAATAAATAAATAAATAATTAAATAATTAATTTATATATTAGTAAGCTTATATTTTTAAAATTACTTTTTATAGATGCTCATCATTATCTAATTTCGGTATTATACCATTTGCAATTAGAAATCTTAGTTATTTTTATTCTCTTTCTTTATCTTCTTAGTCTAATTATTACAACATTTCACTTAATTTTATTTAATTATTATTTTCTTAATTAACAATATTATCTGAAACTTATTATTACTCTATTTCACTTTATTATTATTTTTATTACCCAAGTTATTATTTTTATTTTTTTTAATCTCTTTATAAAATATAAAATTTTCTTTTTTCTTATATTATATTGAATAAATCTTAAATATAGGAAAAGCAAAGCCTTTATTAAATAATAATTAAAATAAATTTTAAAAATAAAAAAATACTCATGGAATTCATTTAAGTTTTATTAAACTTTATTTCTATTATATTTTTCATAATAAACTTAAATTAAGCCATTTCTGATTATCTTTTCTTACCTACCTAAAACTGGCAATTTATCTTAATCACTCATCAATCCTTTATTTTAATTAATATTATATATATTTTAAAATAATATTTTTTACCACTTCTCCATAAATAAAAGCGCAAATATATGCGTTTGTTGAATTCTCTTGTAAAAGTAGCATGCTTTTAAAGCATTTATATTATTTAATCAATATGCTATTAAGTCAAAAATTAAGTAAAACTTTCAAAAATATCACTAATAAAACTGAGAATATTTTTAAAAATTACGCATTAAATTATGTTTTTATTGAAATTAATATCTAATGAATTAGAGGGTACAAAAATACTTTCTTTTTAAACTAAATCATATAAAGATATATTAAAATCTTCATGTATTTCTGAAATATTTAGTATTTCAACAGGGGTACAAGACTCAGACATATAAACAAGAGATTATATTATTTTATCCCAATGTCCTTAATTCAAATTTTAAGATATTTACAATAAAAATTATTTATAATTTTCTAAGCATATTGAAGATAAAGTCTGTTTACCCAAAAAAAAAAAATCAATAAAATAAAAATAAAAATAAAAAAATTACTTCTTCGCTAGTCAAAACACAATTTATAATTATAGCAAGGAATTCATCCATACAATTTTCTAATGTATTAAAATATTAAACATAAATACTAACAAATTCTTAGAAAGCTTTGTGGCTGGTGATTTTAGTAGCATTATAAAGTTATTTATTTGAATATTGCATATTTTAAAAAGTAAACTACATATCATCAAAAAGAGGTCTTATAACTCCTTTAAATATTAGATTCCAAAATTCTTAATTGAATTAGTTACTATATTGTTTTATTGTTTCAAATAAATATTTTACACTTTTCTTAATTATAGAAGGCCTTTCATCAGAAAAAAAAGAAGCAAAATTATTCAAAATAGGTATTAAATATCCCTCCAATAATCTCTTAGATTCATTAATAATTAAGCTTTTTTTACTATTTCCTGCAATTACAACATTATTTGCAGATTGCTACTATTATTATTCATCCTTATGAGTATTTTCTACCAAAAATTTAATACATTTTTTTAAATGATCTAGCGCTTTTAGAGCTATTTTTTCTTATTTGTATTTCGTTTAGTTTGTCAATGCATGAATAAGATCAGCATATACATCAATTAAATTATCAAAGCTTTTTTATTATATTATCATATCAGTAATTGAAACTGCTAAATCAACCAAAACCTAATTATCTTCTTATAATGTTGCATTTACAACTTTTAATACTACTTTCCATCCTGACCTTAAATTATCAGCTCTTGTATGGGTCATTAATTAAAGACAATTTAAAATTAACTCTTTTAATTGGGCATTACTAACTCTTTAGTAAACATACTCGAAAGGTGACAAGAAATCTCTTTAATATTAATAATGTACGAGTTCGGGTATTTAAAGAAATTTTACTGCTAATTATTTAAGGGAATCTATGGCTATTGCACTAATTTAATGATTTTTATGACATCCTACATAGTTATAATGTTATTTTAATACTTCCCAAATTCTATTCCATATAATACGAACTCTATGCATATTAAATTCTGTTATTTCGGCAATTCTTTGCATGCAAAAAATCCTAGGAGGTTACATATAATCAATTTCTTCTCTTGATTATTCACATAAACACTTAATAAATTCGAAAATATTTTCACCATCTAACTATATGGAATTATGGAAAATTTTATCCACCATAGATTAATCAATATAATTAGCAACAACTTAAGCATTAATAATTTCAATTTATTCCTATTATTATTACTAATCATTTTAATTGTTTTAAAGGTATGTTTCTGAATTAATTAAATCGTTATCTTTTCGAGAATTTTAATGGGCGTTGAAATAATGGTCTAACTATCCTACACACTACAAAATTGTTTTCCATGATTTTCCAAGGAAATATTTATTTGAAGTACATATTTCAAGTAAAGTTTTGATTGCATAAATATTTTTTTATTTTAAAATTTTTTAATAATTTCCTACCATTAAACCTGTTTACCTACACAATTCTAAAATAAAAGTTTCTTTTTCAGTTTCTAATCCAAACTATCCAAGCAACCTAATACCGTATTTGAATCCATTAATAGTATTAGTATGTTCATTTCCTTATTAATTATCTTAAGTTTACGAATTATTTATATTACTTTCAATTCCTTGAGAAGAAAGGCAAGCAAAAACTGGACTCCAAATAATTTAGAGTAAATTTCCAACATAATCCTTACTAAAAACTTAAATATATACATTTTCAGTATCTTTATGTTTCTAGATTTTATTTCGAGATTTTTCAAACATTTATTCTGTTTCTAATAAAAACATTTCCTATTTTTTACTTACACTTTAAGTCAAAGCTTCTTCAAAAGCTTTTTTTTAAGCCTCTAAATGATGAATAGCTAAAGGAGCTTTTTTTATTTCTAAATACATAGCCTATACTCTATCGTCAGACAATGATTCCCCATCATCAACTCCTTTAACTAAATTTATGAATTAGGGTAAAGTCATTCTATCTTTTTCTTAAACTTAAGTATTATGAAGAGATGTTTAAAGCATCATCAAAGCATAAGACAGTGTATAAGCACCAGTAGCCGATTTGAATGCTGAAGAATTATCTAAAACATATTTTTCTCCAAATTTTTCAAGTATTCTATCTACTTGTTAACCTTCACCTGGTAACTAGAAATAAGTAAGGAATTTTCTTAAACCTACTACTATGTCCATTTCTTTAAAATTAATAAATTCAATAAATTCAGCTAAAACACTTTTATTAAAAGCATTATCAGACCCAAATAATTCTCCTAATTTTTCCTAATCAAGTTAAGGATTGTATGTATAAAATATTTCTGCCAATTATTTTGGATTATTCTCTTCAATAATTTTAGCCTCTATAAAAGATTAAATGCCCTATTTAGGTTTAAAATTGAATTTAGCAATAGCCTTTTTAAACTTTAATTTTCTCTATCTTTATTCTTCGATAGGATCTTTAGTGTTTTCTTCAAAAATCTAAGTAACATCCATATTATTGTTTTCTTCATTTTAAAGAGTCTAAATTGGCAATGCAGCTGCAATTTATTAAGTCTTATTTTATTCATCACATAAATCCACAAAATCGACAATTCCTTTCATCAACTCAATAATGTTTTTTGTTGCCAAATTTCTCAATTCAATATCTTAATCAGGCATTATTAAACTTTAATATTCCTGTTTGGCATATTTTCCTTGTGAAATTTTACATAAAAGTTCAATAATATGTTCTATCATATTATTTTGATCCAAAAGACAATCGTAATTAACAAACATTTCAATAACAGCACGTGGTATTTTGAATATTTTATTAAATACATGTAAGCAATAAATACGATGGTTATAATTAGCATTAGAACTTTCAAGATATTTGATAAATACATTTTCTATAAAAACCCCAATTTCAGTTTTCAAATTTTACCTAAAGTTATCAATTAAATTTGCAAAAATACTAAAACTTATAATAAAAACAGATTTTTCAGTACTTAAAGAATTCTACAAAAGACTTTGTAAAAGATTATCCCTTACAGCCTAAGTAAATTCCTTTCTAGAAATAAAAATAGGACCTCCTTTTTCCATAATAATAAGGAGTAATTCTAAAGCCAAGGCCTTTTCTTTTAATTATTATTAAGAGAGATTGTTTGCAGCATCTTTACATGAAGTTTTACATAAGAACTCAAATATATTTAAACAATCTACCATTTATTTATTCAAATACCCATCACCATAATTATCAAAGCAAACCCTTTCAATTAATTAAATTTCTTCCAAATGTTTTAACTTGCACTCTTTTGAGCATATAGGTACACGTGTGTCTTTACAAAAATTCTGTGCTTCATTTCTACATATAAAACACCAACCGAATTTTCCTGCCTTTATTTACTTTTCATTATCTATATTAGTAAATATAGTACGTTTGTATTAAGGATTATCATTGTCTTGGAATATAGGCACGCATTTGAGAGGGATTAAAGAAAGTTCTTATTATAACTATTATTATTCGTTATCTTCTTAATATTTTTAACTAATTTTTTCTTTTTTGTTGTAATAAATGCAAACATCATCAACCATATTAATAATTACCTTTCCTAAATATTATTATATTAGTTAATTTTTCTAATTTTTTTTATCTTCTAAATTTACGGGAGGTAAAGTGTTGTAAATATTAAATGATACTTATTAAATTACAGCTGGTTGTTATAAACTATTAATATTAACTGAAGATTCTTCAGAGGCATTAAGGATTACTGCCTATTGCTTAGAAAAATTAAACTAGTTTTCACAGGTAGAGGATTAAGCTAAAGGTTACATGTTTTACCTTTTATTAAAATATATTTATCTTTCTTCAAATGAAAGAAAACTATTGTTTTCCATTTTTTTGAATAATTCTGAAACTATTTAGCTTATTGCATGTTTTGACGTATTTTGCAATATTCCTTATTTAGATTCTTTTATTTTTAATAATAAAAGATAGAAAATTATAATATTTAAAAATTAAAAAATTTTTAGCGTATAAATGCTTATAAATTAAATATAAAATTAATTATATATTTTTAAAAAATTATTTCATAATAAATTTTTGAATATTATATTTTTTATTATATTACAGTAATAAATTCCAAAAATAGTTTTTACAATATAATCTAAGTTTTACCCTGATATCTAAAATAAAATAAAAAAAAATAAAAATAAAAAAATTATTATTTTATAAAATTTATTCACTTCACAAATAGGACTTGTAGAAAGAGTTAAAAGAGATTTAATAATTTCTACATGAACTGCTTCGTCTTTTAATGAAGTACAATCACAGACAGAGTTTATTATTGAATCAATTAATTTTTAACTTTTATTTACTTATTATTATTATTATTATTATTATTATTATTATTATTATTATTATTATTGTATTTTATCATCATCTTCTAAAAATACATTTTGTGTATAATCGTAGCAATTTCCATCTAAAAACCTATGTGATACTAATTTCTTTTTTTTATATATAATTAATTCTTTTATATTTTTAATATTTTCTTTACTTCTAAATAATATAATGTGCACTATGTCAATTAAGGATTATGAACATCCATTGCCATTTTCAAAATTATAAAATATTTGTTTGCACTTAATTAATTACGATCATTGAGTTAAATTATTTAATCTTTTATAAAATATATTTTAGAATTTAAAAAATATATCAAATATATTTATTTTTAAAATTAAATTTATATATTATTATACCTATATATTTTAAAATCAAATCTCTAAAGTTCTTATATTTTTTGGGTAACAACTTTATTATTTTTTAAAAACCTTCAGTTAAAATGGTTTTATAATTTTTTAGAGGGTCTCTAATATTATCCATTTAAGAACAAAATATTATTTTAAAAAAAAAAAAATTAATTCAAAATTATTTAATTAAAATATTTTTTGTTTCACATATGCTTAAAATTTTCGATATTTTATTATCATTAAATATTTAAAAAAAAGTAAAATTAAATATATTTATCTTTATAAATTATTATAAAATGAATTTTATATAAATATATCTTTTTATATCATTTGCTAACTATTTAACTTTTTAAATAGAAAAAAAAGAATAATAACAATAAAATGAATTTTAAGAAAAAATATTATATATTCAATAAATTTGTTTGACTTTTTCAGAAAAATAATGTAAATAGTTTAACTATGAAAAATTGTATAACAAAAAAGTTGATATAATCTAACAATTTTAATCAATGAATTAAAATCTAAAATTTAAATATCAAAATGATGATTAAATTATAATTCCAACTTAAATATTAGATAAATAACCCTTTTTTTCATGTGATATAAGCACGTGTTTATAAAATAAATTTATACCTTAAACAATTAAATAAAATAAATAATATTTCTAAAAATACATATAATTACATTCATAAATAGATGTAAGTAAAAATAATATAAAAATTAATTAGCAATTTCTTTTGTTATTATTTTCAATAAGAATATATAAACATAGCTTATTTTGAATATTTTAATTCATCTTGAAAATATTGATGATTCGTTGTAATAACTTTTACTAATTAATATATTTATCAATATAAATTAAATTTTAATGTTTAAAAAGATTTAAAGACTTCTTATTAAGTTTACCTATATAAATGAATATTCCATTATTTACATTTAGATTATCAGAAATTCATATTTTGAATTAAATTGATTAAACTTTGGTAAAATTTTTGATAAATGAAAGGCTCTATTTATAAAAATTATTTAGAAACTTAAATATTAGACAAAGGACTTAACAAAAGAAGAATGCTAATAAATTTTTCACCTTAAAAATTTAAGATGTATAGATTTTGCTGATTTTGCTTGGGCTTAGTAAATATAAAATAATTTTAATTTTTTGTTTTGCTTTATAAATTAATATTTTAAAAGCTTAATTGTCTAAAAATATGCAATTCATGTTTAAGATTCTGTTTTTTTAGTACCTGGATTATAATATGTATCTTAAAATGGAAACAGATAATAAAATATAAATATTTAATATAATTAAAAAGAATCTAATATGAAAATATTTATCGAAAATTAGTAAGTTAATTAAAATCTTAAAATATATTATAGATTCTAACCAGAATTTTATTTTGTTTTTAATCAAGAAATAATAACTGATCATAATTAATATTGCATTAATTTATAAATATTTGAAAATCAAGATATTAATGAATGCTTTAGTAAAATTCTTTTTTATTTAAATGTCAATAAAGGTTAAATTTGTGTATAAAAATCATAAAATTTTACAAAATTTATAAAGCTTTTAATTAAGATACATTACTTACCAAATAGTTATAAATGTGTTTGTAAAGATAATATAAGTAAACATAATTATAAATTAATTATATTTATTTATTTATAAATAATTTAAAAAAGCATAAATATATAAATAATAGAAAGTCATTATTACATTAGAAAAATCTTTATAAATTATTAATGATACTTGTTTATAATAAGTAAAAAAAAATTCATTAGAATTATCTTAGAAAATCCGTAGTAAAGCATAAAATGTAATTGAAGAAATAAATATAATACTTTAAAAATTGTAAAATTAGGACTATATTTTAAAAGAATTAGAAGGGATATTTTATGAAGATATATCTGTTTTATATTCACTTGTTTTAAATAAAAAAAAGTTATTGAGAATTTAATTAAGATAATAAAAAATCTTTAATAGTATAATTCAGATTTATGAGGAAAATTTATAATTAAAAATATTAAATATCATTAATTACATTTTTTTAATAATTTTTTTTTTTTTTATATTATTTTAAAATAAAATCTCATTTTTTTTATTTTATTGAACTTTTTGGGCTTATATAAAATAATTCCCCCCGAACAGTAATATTTTTTTTAAGATTATCTTTGCATTAAATATTTTTTTTCAAATCTTTTATTAAATTTATATTAATTTATTTTATTCAAATAAAAGCTATTTTTAAGGGTTATACTATTTTTGTATTTATATAACTTATATATTTTATTATTATTTCTATATTATAAAATTTCTGAAGTTTTCTTTTTTTTTTACCTTTTATATAATATTTCTATTCATAAATATCATCATTTTAATTATTACTTTGTTTTTTTTTAATATGGATATAATTATAAATTACTATCTTTTATTAAATTTTACTAAAAAAAAAATTGTTTTCCTTATTATAATCTGGTTTTAAACATATTTATTTACAATAGCATTTATTAAATAAATAAATATTTTTTTTATTATTTATAGCTTTATTTAAATTTGATTAATATTAAATGATAAAAATTATTAAAATTTATTTAATTTAATTTTTTTTTATTAATAATATAAAAATAATATATTACAAATATTTAAAATTAAAATTAAATATATTAATTATTACAAAAGAAATATATAAATAATTTATAAAAATAAAAATAATTAAATAAAAATAGTAAAATCAAATCGTAAATTTATAATAAAATTTTTAAAAAAATAAAGTAGGCATAAAAATATATGAATAAATTTTATTAAAAGAAGGCAAATTTAATCACAAAAGTTTAATAAAGCCATTCAAAAGAGCCTTAAAATAATTAATCTCCTCTGAAAAAAAATTTAAATGATTTAACATTAAAACAAATTGGAAAATTTCCTTAACGTTAATTAACATAAACCAGTTTCTTACATAAGCCTTAGAATAATTTTATATAAAACACGAAAATTCCAACACTCAAAACAACAATAATGCTAAGCTTAATCTCAGCAAATTGAATTTAAAAGGGGAAAAATAATAATAACCTTTATCTTCTCGACTTACGCTTACAATAGTTGAAAATGAGAAATAACTTTACGGTTTAAAAAATTAATAAACTAACGATGAATAAAAATTATAAAATACTGCAAATACCTTCCTTTAATAAAATTCATTTTTTTCAAGTAAAATAACGAATTTGAAACCATAAATTGAATCAAATAATTTTTCAGATAATAAATAAAATTAAGCTTCAACTGATCAAAGAAATTCATAAGCTTTATAATAAAATTTAAGCTCTACATTTTCCGATTTTGTAACATAAAAAAGACTTAGTAACAGCGTCAAGGTTAATAATTAAGGCAATTTTTTTTAAATATAATAAGGATTGTAAGAATATTAGTAGACTACAGATAATAATTTATAATAAGAAAGTGAAAAAATAATTGCTTTTAAACAAAAAGATAATTAAAATGTTGCCAAGCAACTTTTTTAAAAAAATAACAAAATAAATTACGATAGTTCAGTAGTTAGTTAATCAGTATTAAGTACTCCTAAAAAGATTATTAACCCAAAAGAAAAATACAAATAAATAATATAAAATCTATAAGTTCAAGATAAAGAATAAAACGGAAATGTAAAAACATATATAAGATTCAGACCAAACAATCAAGCAGAATTAGATCTAAATAAAAACGGTTTAGGCCAAAATATAATTGAATTTATTGGAGTTTAAACTGTTAAACTTATAAATGACACAATTACATATACAGTAGACAAAGTGTTTTAATAAGATTGCACTTAAGAATAAATATATGAAGAAATCGCTGTAGGAGTTGTAAATGACGTTCTAATAGGTTATAATGGTACCATTTTTGCTTATGGGGTTTCCGGAAGTGGAAAATCACATACAATGTTTGGAAATTTAGATAATTAATAATAATAAGGAATTATTCCAAGAATGTGCGATTAACTTTTTGATCATGTAAATAATGAAGAGAACTCAGACATAGAATATACTATTAAGTGTTCTATGTTAGAAATTTACAAAGAAAATCTACATGATAGTTTAAATATGTAATAAGATGAAAAAATAGAGCTTAAAATTAAAGAGCATCCTTAAAAAGGAATTATTGTTTAAGTATTTAAATATATTTAATTTTGTTGGATATTATTTTTATTTTTAAAAAATAGGGGCTTATTTAAAGATAAGTAGGAGATGAAAATGAACTTATTGATTTAATTGATTTCGGTTATAGTAATAGATAAACCAGAGCTACTAAATTAAATGAATATAGTTCAAGATCTCATACTATATTTATGGTTTAAATCACTTAAAAATTAGCAAGCGGAGCTGAAAAAAATGGAAAACTAAATTTAATTGATTTAGCTGGATGTGAAAAGGTATCCAAAAGTGGAGCTGTAGGAGAAGGTTTGGAAGAAGCAATAAAAATAAATGTTTCATTAACATGTTTAGGTATATTATTAATATTATATTTTTTTTTAAAAAATATATTTAAAAAGGAAAAGTCATACATGCTTTAACAACAGGACAAGATCATATACCTTATAGAGACTCTAAACTTACACGAATTTTACAAGAATCTCTAGGAGGAAATTATAAGGTTTTTTTTAAAATATAAATAAATTTTAAAAATAAATATAAATATAAATATAAATATAAATATATATATATATATATATATATATATATATATATATATACATATATATATTTATAGACTTCATTAATAGTTACTTGCTCGTTAAATTCAAAATTTACTGATGATACTATATCTTCATTGAAATTTGCAACAAGGGCAAAAACAATAAAAAATAATTTCAAAGTTAATTTCTCACATTCAGCAGATTCATTAAAATAAACAATTGAATTATTAAAATAAGAAATGCTCTAATATAAAAGCATGTATAATAACTTTAGATAAGCAATTGTACATGCAAGAGAAGAACTTGATCAAGTTCCTCCTTATGCTAATTGTAATTAGGTTATTGAAATGAGTATTTCATTTATTTTAATTATATTTTAAAATTAATATTTATATAAAAAAAAGAAAGAGATTTTGATACATTACTTGAATTATAAGGAAATTAATATGGATTTTCAAATAATTTAACTTAAAATCAATTAAATCCAGCAGGTATATATAATAATAATTAAATAAATACATATTAACTAGGTGATTTTAATATGTAGGAAATGTTTAATTTTGGATATAGTAGTGATTTATATTAAGCAAAGTTTAAATCTAAAGATGAATAAATTAATAATTAAAAATAAAATATTTAGGAATTAGAAGATAAAAACAAATAATTAAAAATAGAAATTTTATCATTAAAAAAAAACAATATTAATATACAAAATTAATTGAATGAAATAATGAGCGAAAAAAATATGATTTAAGTTTAATATTCTAAAGAGATTTCCAAAAATAGTTTTAATAAATTTTAATTGGAAATTTTATAAAAATAAATATAAAAACTTATCGAATAGATTTGCAAATTAGAAAAATAAAATACCGAATTTCTTAACGAAAAAAAATAAATTTGTAATTTTTTACTATTATTTATCTATTTTTATTTTTAAAAGATGAAAAAAAAATTGATGACTTATTGAAAAATAAGCTTACTTTTGCTGAAATTAAACTTGGAGATTATTTTAAAAATAACTTTAATTTTAATTTTTAAGTAAACAAAATTTTATTATTATTTATTTTTTTATATTAAATAGATAAATGAGGACCCAAATTTAATATAAAAAATTAAAAAAATGAGTTTAGATGCAATCGATGATAATATTTTAGCAGAAATATCTTAAACTTCATCTTCAGATTCAGACTCATCTTCAGATAGTTAGACAAATCCAAATGATATTTCAACGTATTTTTTAATACAACAATTTTAATGATATATTATAAATTTTAAATAAATAGAATTGATAAAAAAAATTAATAAATATAAAGCACATTTAAAGTTTTAGATAATAACTAGAATCAAGAATTTTTAAAAAAATATTTGAATTTTAACATAAAATGGAATAAGAAATATTAAAAGAGCCAATTTAATAAGATTTTATAATAATTTAATTAAAAAAGCTTTTAATCAAGTTTTAAAAATATATATTTTTTTTATGTATATATATAATGATTTAAAAATAAATAGCTCGCATATAATGAACTAAAATCTTTTAAGGACTATAAGTGCATTGGAATGGAAATAAATAATAGATTATGGAAAAACTTAATTAAAAAATAATGTAATTAGAATTTAAACAAAACATATTAAATGCCTTGAAAAAGTTATTGATGAATGCACTCAAAACAGTAAAGATTTAAGAATTAAAATAGAAGATGTTGTATTAGATATGGATATATTATAGAATTAATAAAAAAATTAATCAGCATTAAGTAAATCTAAAGTAAGAATAAATGTGCCTTTAATCTCCTAGAGAATAGTTGAGCATACAGAATAAGGTGGATTAAGTAAATTTGGATAAAGAAAAAGTATAATGATTAGTAATAAATTTAAGTATGGAGCAAAAGAAGATTGTTTAGATGAAAATTTAATTGAATAATTTAAATAATGTAAAAAAAAAATATTTATAAAACTATTTTTTATTTGAAGAAATCGAAATTATTGAAAAAAACATCCTTCCTTTTACCTACGAAAATGCTATTTTGGATATTTAACAAAAAAGCAGTTTTATAAAAGAATTAATGAAATAATGTAAAAGACCATAAGGAGGTTAACATAATTTAGGGTTAGGGGATTAAGATTAAAATTTAATAAGAGAAAATACAAGGCTTCAAAACAAAATATTAATGTTATAAAGTGAATATTAAATGGAACAGACTAAAGCTGATTCATATAAAGAAGCTTTAAAAGTTGAAAGAAAAAATTTAATATAATTAAAACATTTAAATAAAGAAATGGAAGTTACATTAAGAAATAATTTAAAAGAAGAAAATGAAAGTTGGTAGAATACTATTAATATTATAAATGAATAAAAAAAGAAAGAAATAGTTAGAATATAATAAGATTATAATATTTTAAATTAAAAGTTAAATGAAATTATTGATGAATCATTAATTAAGTATTAATATTTTTTAAAAAGATATAAAAATAAAAAAAAGGTTTTAATAATTAAAAAAATAAGAATAAAAAATAAGTCTAAACGAAATAGATTCAATCCTTAAAGATTTATAAAAATATAAAAACAATTTAAATCAAATTTATGAAACTAAAAAAAGAAAAAGTATGCTTTAGAACTTACATATAAATAGTAATACAGCAAACTAAAATCAAGAAAATACTAATAAGATAGAATGAAAAAAAAATATATATATAAATAATTGATAATTTTGTAGTTGGTATTAAATCATATATATATATATATATATATATATATATATATATATATTATATATATAAATATATTTATATACAAATATATATATATTTTATATAATTTTTTGTATTTTTTTTTTTTTAAATAAATAATAATAATATAAATTTAAATTATATATGTTTATTATTTATTTAATTTTTTAGATTATTAAAAAAAATAATTTAACAAAAATTTTAGCTGATATTTAAACAATTTTATTTAAATAATTAAAAAAAATATATATAAATTAATAAATCTATATAATATTTATTTTTAATTATTTATTTTTTCATTCTTAATTCTCGTCATCAGTTTCCCATTCTTCTTCTTAAGTCTTCTTTTATTATATTTTCTTATTTTTTTAATTTTTTATTTATTTATTTTAATTTTCTTTTTTATATTATGCTATAGTTTTTTTAAACATTTATTAATTTATATCATCCATCATATCATCGTAGTATTAATCATTCTATTATCTATTATAATAATCATTCATATAATCATCTTACATTTCTTTTTATTAACGGTAAAAATAATCATCATCATCATATTCATCTCTAAATTAATTATTTAAGTCATAATTATCTTCATCATCAAGATTTTCATAAATTTCTTCAGAATTTTTTTAATATGTTTATTTTTCATGTTTTTTATTTAATAATTTTATTAGACTATTTATATAATCATCCCGCTTTCTTAATTATATTATACCATTTTTAAATTAAGCTATATTAATAATATTTTTTATTTTTTAAAAAATATGTACATATAATATATATATTATTATTACTTTCTGTTTTTAATTCTACTTTTGATTATCCATTATATATTTTTTCACATTCTTCAGATGTTAAAAGTTTTTATGAATCAGAAAATAATAATACTTTTGGATTGAAAAATCTTTCTAATTCTGGATTTTAAGAACACATTTAATCTATTGATTACATTACTTTTAATTTATTTTATTTTTTAGCAAATATTATTTTTATAAAATAAAAATAATTTGGTCATAATTTTAACTTTTAAAAATAGTGTATATAATTTAAAAAAATAAATATGTAATTATAATATTTTTTTATTTTAATAATTCGTTTTTTAAATATAATATTAAAAATCCAATTTTTTATTTTTTTAAATTTAAGGCTTTTATATTATTTTACTAATACGAATCTTTATTATTTTAAGATAGTTTTTTTTTATTAATTTTAATTTTTAATTTAAAATTCAGTTTTAGGAAAAAAGTATTTATTTTTTTGAAGGATTTATATAATATATATAATTAAAATATCTGATAAGTATTTTATATATTTAAAAGAAAATTTATAAATAATAAATTTACATTATAAAAAACTTTTAATAATACTTTTTTTAATATTTATAAATAAATTCGTTGATTTTCATATTCTATTGACCAAATTTAGAAGTTATATAATAATTTAAAAATTTTAACCCAAAAGTTATATTAATTATAATTCTTTTTATGTTTTTAGTAAATTTTATCAACTGATTAAATAATAATTTTTATATTTAAGTATCTGATTCATCTTTATTATAACATTAAAGTAGAACCAAATTAATTTAATTTAAAATATGTAAGGATAATCATTATTTAACTAAAATATTATTTCTCTTTATTTAAGTTATTTAATACTTCTTTTTTATATATACAACATTAATATTAAAAACGATGATAAATGATAATTTACTAAAATTATTTTTTTTATATATTTAATAATTTATTTTAATATATTTACCAAAATTTAAGATTTTATTTTTTATTTTGTATTTTCATTAAAAAAGCATTTAAAACAATATAATTATAAATACTATTATTTTCATTAATTTCGTAATTTTATTTTACAATAATTACTTTTCTTCTTTTATACAGTAATGTTAAAATTTTAATTTTAAAATAATTTTTTTAATTAATTGTTTGATTTTTTTTATATTTTTAATAATATTAAATTACATAATTACATTATTTAAAAATAGAAATCCTTTAACTTAATCGAACAAATTTCATTCTTAGTTTATTATTTCTTCAATTAAATATCGAGCTATTCAAACTAACATCAATTTTAAAGAATATTAGTAACTATTTATTTATACATAAACAATTATATTTAATGATAAAAACTATTTTAATAAAATATATAGTTTTGAATAATTGTTCTCATTTAATATTTCAAAATTGAACAAATACAAGAATATGAAAATATTAGAATAACAAGATAATTACTAATATTTATTAATAATAATAATTTTAAATAATCAATTAAATTAATTGTTCAATTTAAACAATAAATTTCATTATAATCATGTTGTACAATTTATTATATTTTTAAATAATAAAATTTATATTGTAAAAGTTTTTCTTTTTGTAAAAAATAATTAAACTATAAACATTTTTTTTAATTAATATATATAAAAAAAAACTTAATTAAATTATTTTTTTTAAAAAAAGAAAAAAAAAATAACAAACATAATAAAATTAAAATCGTAATAAAAAAATTAAATAAAATAAATAAAGTAAAATGAATTAAAAAGCAAATTAAAAAAAGCCGTTGCGTCCTCTATCATCAACATAGTAAGAAGCACCTTAATTACAAATAACTGGCTAAAGTAATAAAATATAGCAAATAAATAAAAAAAAAACAAAAAAAGGTAATACAAAAAAATAAAAGAAATAAGAGTAAAATAATGATAATAATAATAATAATAATAATAATAATAATAATAATAATAATAATAATAATAATAAGCAATTAAAAACTGAACACAAATTTTACAAATTATATGTAAAATTAACTCGAAACTAACGTTTAACTCCGTTAAATATACAACAACCATCAACTAAATAAATAAAAAAATTAATTTGAAGAAGAAGAGTTACAAAAATAACAATATAAGCATAATTTTACTTGTAATAGTAGATTTAGTGAAAGTACTTCAGTAAAAGAAAATACATCAACTCAAAATGAATTTTTATCTGCTTCAAATACATCTTTCAAACAAGAATCTTAATAATTTACTGAAAACATAGAAAATAATAATTTTATTGAAAATTGCCAAAAGCATATTAATAAAAAGCCTTTTAAAATCAGTGAATTAAAAAAGAAAGAAAACTAATAATAATAAATATAATCAGATAATTTAAAACTATCGCAAAAAAAAAATTAAGAAGAACAAGAAGAAAAAAAAACTTGAAATTTTGGTAAATAACTGACCCTAAAAGACGAAAAACTATAGAAAATATAAAACTCTGTATTTCATAAATATCCGAAAAACTATCCAAATAAGCAACTTAATAAGTTCAAGCCTTAGTGGCAAATAATGAGCTAATAGAAGATATTAAATCAAATAAATGTATGACTGAATTAGATTTTGAATTAGCCCAAAAAGAAGAAATTATAAATTAAATTAATGATTAAAATCGCTAAGAAGTGCTTTAAGAGTTCGCATAGAAAACAGCAGAAGAATTAAGTGAAATGAGTATTTAAGAATTAAGAAATCGAGCACTTTTTATCACTAATATTCGTAATAATAATATAAATAATAATAGTAGTATTAATTAAAGCTTTGCTAAAATGCCTGATGAAGAATTAAATTATTAAGAACAGCAAAAAGAATTTCAAAAAGAAAACTAAGAAAATTTTTAAAATATATATTAAAAAACACTCAGTTATGAAATGCAAAATAAATTAGAAAAACTTTTGGAAGATTGCGAGGATTTTAATATGGAAAAAGAACAAGAAAAACTAAAAAAAATAAAAAATCCTTTCAAAATAAGCGAAAATGACTTAAAAAAATTTGAAAACAACGATAAAAAATATCAAATGGAAACTCAAGAAATATAAGAAAAATTAGGACATCCTCTTTTTTCTTTATAAAATTTAGTCCTTCCAAAAGACCCTGTATTAAAAGATTTAGCTGAAAATAAAATTTTGAAGTAAAAAATGGTTGAAATTAATGATAGATTAAGGACTCTTTTTCTGCCTGAAAATAAATAAAAAATTATTTGTTAAAATGAAATTTAAAAAATGCTTTTTTAATTAAAATAATTGACTGAGTTTTAAAATTAAAGTACTTTTTTACAACATAGAATGCGAGATTTTTAAGAAAATGAAATGATAATGAAAGAATGCGAATAACTTTTAAATAAAATTAATTCAGATAAAGTTGATGATGAAATACTTT